CTTGGGAAGTCTGATCTGGGTATGGTGGTCCACACTCTTGTTACATCCCCACTCTATGTGGGGCTGTCTTTGAAGACAGTTCAGAAACTACAACTAGTCCAACGGGCTGCAGCCAGATTACTAACTGGAGCAACATACAGGGAGCATACCACCCCCCTGTTGTGCCAGCTCCATTGGCTGCCGGTCCATATCCRAACTCAATTCAAAGYGCTGGTTTTGACCTATAAAACTCTATACAGTTCTGGCCCAGCTTACATGTCCGAATGCATCTCCCTCTACGTCCTGTCTCACAGTTTAAGATCATCCGGGGAGGCCCTGCTCTCGCTCCTGTCAGAGTCACAAATACGTCTGGCGGGGACGAGAGACAGGGCCTTCTCGGCTGTGCCCCCCCCCCCACCTGTGGAACTAGCTTCCCACTGAGGTAAAATCGGCTTCATCCCTCCTGTATTTTTGGAAGAAATTGAAGTCGTGTTTCTGGGACCAGGCTTTTTGGACAGCAGGCATAAGTAGCACCTTGGTTATGGAATTTGACTGGAATGATGATATTGCTGTTAATACTGTATTTTTACTGTTTTACTGTTTTTACTGTTTTATTGCTCTTAATGAATGTTCTATTTTAAGGAAACTTCCCACTTCCAGGTAAGGAAGAGTGATGACCTCCTAGAAGAGGGGCTTCAGCCCCCCCCCCCCCCGAAATTCTCATGGTGGTCCGCAAGAAGGCCTTACTGGTACATTATTTAAACTGTTATGTTTATTAATATCATGATCTGATCACCATTCTCAATATATCCCATATGTATGGGGGTATTGGGGTAACGATACAAAAGGTTTGCTAGGGTAGACCCTCTTTCACCCAGACTCAGCCCCCCCCCCCCACCCCGAATCAAAATCCTGATTACGGGCCTGGTTGGACAAGTTGTAATTTCCGGGCCGTCTTCAAGGGTAGCCCCATGTAGAGTGCATTGCAATAATCCAGTCTAGAGGTAACTAAGGCATGGACCACCATGGTCAAGTCAGACTTCAGGAGGTATGGTCGCAGTCGGCGCATGATATTTAATTGTGCGAAGGTTCTCCCGGCCACTGCTAACACCTGTGCTTCCAGCGTCAGCGCTGAGTCCAGGAGAACCCCCAAACTGCAGACCTGTGACTTCAGGGGGAGTGTAAACCCGTCCAGCACAGGTTGCAGTAATTGCATCTAGAAGGTACAATTACTAGATCTTTACTACTCTCCCTACTGTCCCCCGATAACATTTTCTCTGAGACAACTAAACAACAGCTTCAAAACTTCAGCCATTCTTCATTCATCTTGATGGATAAGGGCTGCTTGTAGTTTTTCAGTGGGAAGAAAAAGAAATTCTACATAAGCTCCAACATTCTCATATCTTCTAAATCTCAACATCCAAAGCCTGTTTATTGTTGATAATGGGGACTAGAATCAATACAGTTGGAGAGTGCCAGGTTGGAGAAGAGTAGTTCAAGCCGAAGCCTTGCGGTCTTCAGTTTTAGCTCCAGGGCTACATTCCAATCCAAATGGGGAAAAAAACTGAAATAGAAACCTACAATGAGTCACCCCAGACAGCTACTTGAACATTACAAAAGCCATAAAACCCTAATCCAAGCCAAACATAGTCACAGAGATAAAAGAGTGTACATGGCTCCCTTGCAAATGCATGTCTACAAGGCTTAAGCTGGGGTGCTGAGGAGGGGAATATGTAGCCTCCACAGTGGCTGTCAGACTCCAACTTTTGTCAGTTCCAACCAGTTTGAGCAACGATCAAAGGTGACTTGGGAAAGGGGGGTGGGCTGAAGTATGCTCTTCAAAGACTGCAAATGTTTCCTTTTAACGTCAACTCTCAGATTCTTATAGCCAGTATACAGAAAAGAATAGAATAGAATAACTTTATTGTCATTGTACATAAAAAGTAAATTCAAAATTCAAAAAAAGAATATGCAGGGTGAGATGGAGCCCCAAGAATGCTCTGAGCTTTCGTTAGACTGAGGGACCTATAAAGTTCTTACAAAGAGGGCAACCAATGATTGTAAAGAATGGTGATCCTTTGGAGTGACTTCTATCTGCCACTGTGTAGTCACCAAACCATGCAAAGATGCAGTAGGTCAGGACACTCTCTAAAGTAGAGTTTCTCAATCTGGGGGTCGGGACTCCTGGGGGGGACATGAGAGGGTGTCAGAGGGGTCGCCATCAGAAATCACAGTATTTCTGTTGGTCATGGGGGTTCTTTGTGGAAAGTTTTGCCCAATTCTATCATTGGTGAGATTCAGAATGCTCTTTTATTGTAGGTGAACTATAAATCCCAACAACTTCTACTCCCAAACATCAAAGTCTATTTTCCCCAAACTCCACCAGTGTTCACATTTGGGCATATTGAGTGTTCGTGCCAAGTTTGGTCCCGATCCATCATTGTTTGAGTCCACAGTGCTCTCTGGATGTAGGCGAACTACAACTCCAAAACTCAAGGTCAATGTCCAACAAACCCTTCCAGTATTTTCTGTTGGTCATGGAAGTTCTGTGTGCCAAGTTTGGTTCAGTTCCTTCATTGGTGGAGTTCAGAATGCTCTTTGATTGTAGGTTATATCAGGTACTTGTGCCCAATTCGGTCCGGTGAATGAAAATACATTCTGCATATCAGATATTTACATTGCAAACCATAACAGTAGCAAAATTACAGTTATGACGTAGCAATGATAATAATGTTATGGTTGGGATTCACCACAACATGAAGAACTGTATTAAGGGGCTGCGGCATTTGGAAGGTTGAGAACCACTTCTCTAAAGCATAGTGGTAGAAAGTCACCAGCAGTTTTTCATTCAGTTACTGGTTCCTTAAAAGTCTCAAGTAGTAAAGTATCTGCTGGGCCCTCTTAAACAATGCTGCCGTATGAGTGTCCCAGGTCTGATCCTCCTTAACAGTGACACCTAGGAACATAAATCTGGCCACCGCTCCACTTGGTCCCCATTTATGACCAAGGGCTGGATTTCTGGTCTGTTATTTCTGTAGTCCACTATAAGAAGACTCGGATTACAGGGTCACAAGAGCAGCCAATCCACCTCAACCTGATAGGCAGACTCATCCCCTTCAGAGATAAGCCCCACCATGGTTGTATCATCCGTGTGATCATGCCTCATCATGGAACCTAAGCAAGAGTAGGAGTCACTTCTTGACTGGGAGACTGCCAATGCACTGCTGTATTTCAGAGGAAGAGATGCCAGGAACCACTGAAGAAAGGCCTATGAAATTCATGGTGTCACCATAGGTCCACAAGCAACATGAAGGCACATACGATACACACTCACACATGCAGCAGAATTCTTCAGGGTTTGTGGCAGGCTCCCTTGGTGCATGACCATCAACACCTGCAAAAAATCCCCTCCTCTACCCATCCATTAAAGGCACAGAAGTTGCTTTGAGTTTTCCACCAGAAAACCATTTTTAAAGCTCCTGCTGTATCTAAACCAGACATGGGCAAACTTCAACCCTCCAGATGTTTTGGACTTCAACTCCCATAATTCCTAACAGCTGGTAAGCTAGCTGGGATTTCTGGGAGTTGAAGTCCAAAATAACTACCATAAGTGGCCAAAGTTTGCCCATACTTGATCTATACTGTAGAAAAAATACAGTTTTATGCCATGTTAAATGCCAGGGCTCAATGTTATAGAAACCTGGGGATTGTAGTTTGTGGAAGTACCATCATTCTTGGGTAGAGAAAGCCAAAGACCTCAAAGATCTGGACTGTCTATAGTAAGCCAAAGATTCATTTCTTGGTTTTTCCCGTTGTAGATGGTTAAGACTCTTGTTGGTCTCTGGAACAAAGTAAGGGAATATCAGCCCTTCCTTATTGATCAACTAATACTATTAATTAGGTAAAGGTAGTCCCCTGACATTAAGTCCAGTCATGTCTGACTCTGGGGTGTGGTGCTCATCTCCATTTCTAAGCCGAAGAGCCAGCGTTGTCCGTAGACACCTCCAAGGTCATGTGGCCGGCATGACTGCATGGAGTGCCGTTACCTTCCCGCCAGAGCGGTACCTACTGATCTACTCACATTTGCATGTTTTCGAACTGCTAGGTTGGCAGAAGCTAGGGCTGACAGCGCTAGCTCACGCCGCTCCCCGGAATCGAACCTGCGACCTTTCGATCAACAAGCTCAGCAACTCAGTGCTTTAACCCACTGCGCCACCGGGGGCTCCGATACTAATACTATTAATTAGTTATTCATAATTAATAATTAATTAATTAATACTACTAATACGATCCTCTAGCAGTGCATCTAAATCAGTGGTTCCCACCAGTGGTCCGCAAGAACTAAGAGATGATCCACGGCCTGACCATTACTACACCTTTACGACGAGAGCCCTCTTATAGAGCCGAGGCTTATTAAATATGGTTTTCTGTGGGCAAGCAGATGGTGACTCCAGGATGCTATATGCCTGTGAGACGTGGACTATCTGCAGAGGTCACATGCAACTCCTAGAACGATTCCATCAGCGTTGCCTCTGAAAAATCCTGCAAATCTCTTGGGAAGACAGGCGGACAAATGTCTGTGTGCTGGATGAAGCAAAGACCATCAAGAATGATGAGATGCCATAGCATTGAGCCATAACAGTTAAAGTAGTGTCAAAGGACATCCATTGCGCATGGGCAAACTTCGTCCTTCCAGGTGTTTTGGACTTCAACTCCCACCATTCTTAACAAGTCCAAAATGTCTGGAGGGAGGTCCGAAGTTTTCCCATGGCTGGTGTAGATGTACCTTCTTGAAAATAGGCGACAGCCGAAGGACTTCCTCCACGCGTGGGAGTGCGTGGGGTACCCGACCCACGAAATGTCCTTGTGGTGGGTGGCGGAGGACAGGGAAGCAGCCCCTCCGTGGGGCACCTTCGCTCCCACCGCCCTGCCTCGCTCTCTCGTGGAATGCCACGCGCGTGGAGCGGTGCAGTCCACTCCCTCGCCTGCTTCCTTCCTTTCCCTAAGGGACGCCGTTGGCTTCCAGGCTCCGCCCCGGGCCCTTCCCTTCTGGCCCCACGCCTTCCACGTGGGACCGTGGGCTGGGCTCCACTCCTCGCCCTCCTCCTCCTCCTCCTCCTCTTGCGCTCCCTTCCCTCCTTCGGGAGCCAGTGCGGTTTTTTTGCCTGGGTGAAAAGCAGGAGAAGTGGGCCACAGAGGAACAGCTGTGTGTTTGGGCCACCCGTGGGAGACCCTCCGTGCTTTTGGGATCCTTTGGGTAGAGCCGCTGGGTTCGTGGAGAAGGAGGCAGCCAGGATGGAGCTGTGATCCCGAAGGAAGGAAGGAAGCATCCCGCGAAGGAAGGAGGAAAGGAAGGAAGGAAGGAAAGCATCCAAAACAGGCGAGGAGGAGGCGGCCCGGGTAAGATCGCGCTCTGTTTCTCAAGGCAGGGGGAAGGATCCTGCGGGGATTCAGGCCAGAGTGGAGGGGGGAAAGGAATCTCTTGCAGGGAATCCATCCAGGACATGCAGCAAGGGAGCTTGGTCCCTTCTGTTTTCTCCTGGTATCTGGGAAAGAGTAGACCAAGTGTACGCCTCAGTGTTATTGCGACGAGGATGTTGATGGTGGAAAGGATTGGGAAGAAGTTATGCAAGTTTGGGACGGGAAATCCCTCAAGAATCTTTTCCTCCCTTTTCTTTTTTCCCCCTTCCTTCCTCTCTTCTTCTTCCATCCTTCCTTCCCTGCTCATTCTCTTCTAATTCTTTCTCCTCCTCCTTCTTCCTGTTCTCTCTCCTTCCTCTCCCTCCTCTTCCTCTCCTTTTTTCCTCCTCCCCCTTCTTTTGCTTCTCCCGCTTCTCCTTCTTCCACCTCAACCTTTTCTTTTTATTCTTTCTCCTCCTCCTCTTCTTTTTCCTCCCATTCCCCTTCATCCTCCCCCTTCCTTTTCTTTTCTTTCTCTTCTTCTCTTTCTTCTCCTCCTTCCTCTTCTTCTCCTGCTTCTCTTCCTTCTTCCTCTCCTAGAATCATAGAATCAAATCATAGAATCAAAGAGTTGGAAGGGACCTCATGGGCCATCCAGTCCAACCCCCTGCCAAGAAGCAGGAGTATTGCATTCAAATCACCCCTGACAGATGGCYAACCTCCTCCTCCTCCTCTTCTTCTTATCCTCCTCCTTCCTCCTCATGTTCTTCTTTTTCATATGCTCCTTCTTTTTSCTCCCCTTCCCCTTCGTCGTCCTCCCCTTCTTTTGCTTTTTCTCCTCTTCTTCTCTTTCTTCTCATCCTTCCTTCTTCTCCCTCCTCTCCTTCTACTTCTCTTTCTTCTTCTCCTTCTCCTCCTCCTTCTTCCTCCTCTCCTCCTCCTATTCTTCTCTTTCTTCTCCTCCTCCTCCTTCCTCCTCATGTTCTTCTTTTTCATGTCCTCCTTCTTTTTCCTCCCCTTCACCTTCATCCTCCTCCCCTTCACCTTCATCCTCCTCCCCTTCTTTTGCTTTTTCTTCTCCTCTTCTCTTTCTTCCTTCTCATCTCCTTCTCTTTCTTCTCCRTCCTCCTAGTTTCTCCTCCTCTCCTCTTCTTCTCTTTATTCTCCTTCCTCCTTCTCCTGTCCTCCTCCTCTTCTCTTTCTTCTCCTCCTTCTTCCTCTGCTCCTCCTCCTCTTCTTCTTGGGACATTATAAGCAATTCTGAAAGTAAGGGTGGTGATGATGATGGAAAAAAGAAGTTGTTGAAGTTTTCTGTGAGATGGAACCCACCTCCGGCTTGCATCCCTTTGCCCCTTTTCATCTCCCTGTCACCTTCATCACTTCCTCCATGGTCCTTCTCCTTTAACTTGAGCATATTTTTAGTAGTATTTGGAGTTTAGTTCATTTGCTTTTTTGAGTTGCCACTGGCATAATAAACTAGCTCAAGTTCTGGTTTCCTCTCTTTCCCACTCTCAAAACCAAAATCATGGGTGGGCTCAATAGGGCCATTGAAGTTCACTTCGTTTTGGGGTTTAATTATGGCTCAACGTACACCGCTCTGACGTATTCTCCTAAGGAAAATGTTCCATTCTCCTTGTACTTATGTGAAAGGAAAATTGGCATCTGAAGTGACAGCAAGCCGGTCTGTGAAGGGATACTGAGTGTTGTGGGCAGACAGTGGGCAGCTGTTACTCCATGTTCAAGCTTGTAATTTTGTGTGCACGGTGCAAAGAACTATGTGGAGGCATCTCTCCACATTCACTGAGGTTAGGGACACAGCATACCTGAGAAGGTGAAAAAATGTACGAGAAAGAAAATTGCTATTTTTTCCCCTGATAGAATATTTCTCTAGGAGTTTCTGCATCTTTTAGCATGACTCCATGGTCACCTTTTACTGACAGCTTATTATAGAATTACATTGGAAGACCTAGAGATGCTTGGAGAGGTGTCCTCCCTAGAAATCTCTAGGTCCTCCAACACGACTGAAGGAAGAGATAGGTGTTTCAAGAGAGAACGTGTTAAATCAAATCTGTAAACAAATCTGCTAAAGTATCAGACTGCAGATATGGAGGGACAACAGTACTCAGCACTTCCACCACTCCATATACAACCCTAATATCTTATGTTGTTATTATTGTTATTGCTGCTATGTGCCTTCAAGTCATTCCTAAGGTGAACCTTGAATACAGATACTGTGGAGTGTATTTTAGAGGAAGGAACTGGGGAAACCACTTTTGGGTCTTACTTGCCTAAGAATATCCTCTGAAAATCATGAGGTCATCATAAGGCAAGTGGCTTGACACAAACGCACACAAAGTGACCCTATCATGTAGGGCAGTGGTTCTCAACCTTCCTAATCCCCCAACCCCTTAATACAGTTCCTCATGTTATGGTGACCCCCCAACCATAAAATTATTTTCGTTGTTACATCATAAGTGCTACTGTTATGAATCGTAATGTAAATATCTGATATGCAGGATGTATTTTCATTCACTGGACCAAATTGGGCACAAATACCCCATATGCCCAAATTTGAATACTGGTGGAGTGGGGGGGAGGGGAGAGATATTGTCATTTGGGAGTTGTAGTTGCTGTCGTTTATAGTTAACCTACAATTTTGCTACTGGTGTATAAAGACTGAAGGGTTGTATTATATGTTGTGTCTTTGTGCAGAAGATATATCTCTTAAGACAGTGGTTCTCAACCCTCCTAATGTGGCAACCTCTTAATACAGTTCCTCATGTTGTAGTTACCCCAAACCATAAAATTATTTTCACTGCTACTTCATAATTGTAATTTTGCTACTGTTATAAATTGTAATGTGAATATCTGATATGCAGGATGTATATTCATTCACTGGCCCAAATTTGGCACAAATACCTGATATGCCCAACTTTGAATACTGGTGGGGTTGGGGGGGGGGGGGGGGTGATTTTGTAATTTGGAGTTGTAATTGCTGGGATATATAGTTGACCTACAATCAAAGAGCATTCTGAACCCCACCAATGAAAGAATTTTACCAAACTTCCCAGACAGTACCCCCATGATCAGAAGAAAATACTGTGTTTTCTGTTGGTCTTTGATGACCCCTCTGACACCTCCTCGTGACCTCCCAGGGGTCCCGACCCCCAGGTTGAGAAACGCAAATGTAGGGCAAGATTTGTTCAGGGAAAATTTGCAATTGTTGTTCTCCAGGGCTGAGAGATAATGCGACTTGCCCATCATGGTCGACCACAGGCTTTCCTCAGTTGAGTGGGCATTCATCCACCTGTCTCTTGGAGATCTGAGGGTTTGCCTGCAGTGTAGAATTGCTGCAGTTTGACACCACTTTAACTGCCATGGCTCAGTGCTATGGATTCATGGAAGTTGTGGCATCTGGACTCTTTGGCACAGCAGGCTAAAGACCTTGTAAAACTACAACATCCATGATTCCATAACATTGAACCAAGGAAGATAAAGTGGTGTCAAACTGCATAATTCTACAGAGTAGATATGCCCTGAGTCATCCTGATTATAATTGAGAACTTAACAAGAAGGTCACAAAGCCTACTCCCTCCTGGGACTGTAGCTTTCAGATACTTTCCCACCCTACCCCAAGGGTTGGTTGTATTAATATGAAGGTTAAGGTGAGGTGAAGACCTTCTCTGTGTGCTTTTGGTATGTGGTATGATGCCAGATGTCATACTTTGGTTGCTTACAAACTGCCACCAGTGTGAACTATCGCATTGCATAACTCCCTGTGTACTATACTAGTGTGGTCCATGAGATGGTCGATATATGTTGCCCAATGGGATCTTACCGAACCACATTACTGATATTGCCAGGAGCTCACTATTCTTTCAAAACATTCCTATCCTAGGTCTTCCTCCAAACTAATTTGCAAAGCAGCTGACAGTTTTACAATCACAATGCATTGGTGTAAACAATTGGCTTGTAAATTATCATTCATCAAGAGATTATATTTGTTTTCTGTGGCTATATCTTAAATCAGAATAACTGTTCTTTTCTCTTTTTTCCTAAACCCTCTATATGTGAAGTTTGTTTACTGAAAGGTACCAAATTTCTCTAAACAAATTTTACAAGAATCAAAAAAACATGCTGAGGATTTGCTATAAGTTGCTGTTTCCAAGCCTGTATCAAAGTGATTTTTATGCAAGTATTTTGATAGTTGTGATCTGTACATGATATTCTACTCTCAGCCAACAATGTGCTGCCACCTATAACTTATCTTTTCAATTTTTTGGATTTAGTACCTTTTAGAAACAAAGTCTACATATGTGTTCACTGCAGAATGAATGCAGTTGGACACCACTTTTGCTGTAATGGCTCAATGCTATGGAACCTAGCAGTTGTATTATCTCTGCTAAAGGGGACAGGCATTCCACCAAACTACAAATCCCAGGAGCCTATAGCATTGAGCCATGCCAGCTAAAGCGATGATTAAAGACTTGTGAGTCTACTACAGTTCAGCGTCACTTTAACAGCTCCAAACTATGGAATCTTTTGAATTGTAGTTTGGTGAGGCACCAGCACTCTTTGGTAGAGAAGGCTAAAGACCTTGCAAAATGACAACTGCCACAATTCCATACGGTTCAGCCACAGCAGTTGAAGGGGTGCCAAACTGCATTAATTTGATAGTGTAGATGCACCCTAAATCTAATGGAATATGATTCCTGGGGTTTTTTTTACATCTGCATGCCTTATGCTGAATGTAATATTGCTTTACTGTGATGATACTCTCTCATTTTTAAAAACAAAAATATTATTCCATTCACTGCTTATTGGTTCCCCAAAGCGCCTTCCAACACACACTGCCAGTCATTTGCCTCAGGTATCAGGCATCCCCTTCTCCACTCTTTGTTCTGGCTTCTTGGCTGTCTCAGAACATTGCTGCAATGTTGACATAATGTTTTCTGAAGTTGCACAGATGTCATTAATAGTGCACCCTCTCCGAAATAATG